TTTGTAAAGGCTCATCTGTCACAGAGTGGGTGACTCCTCAGGAGTCTTAAAGCCATCGATGGCAGAGCAGAGTCTGTGACTGGGAAGGGGAATGGCCATGGTCCCAAGGATCATTAGAATAGAAGATTCCATGGTTCAAGAAGTAGATGTTCCAAGGACACTATTGGACACTTGTTGGGCCCCATATTGGCCCTGGTTTGGGCCTTGAGGACAAACCTGAGCCTGGCTGTAGTTTTGAGACCTATCTTAGTCACTTCCATACCTGGGGTGACTCAACAAGACCTATTTGGCCCTGCCTCTGCCCCACTGTTGCTGATGTAGAGCTTTGCCATTGGCCCTGTCAGTCACCCCGTATCTTCTGTCACCCTTCTCTACCCCCTATGTCATCTCACCCCACCAAAACTCCTCCCCCCTGTGCTCCGAGTTTATATAAGTGAGAAGCTGATACATTAAAGTTGAGTTCCTACTTTGACAAGACCCGGGGCCCGGTGTGTTTGTTTTGGGCTGTCGACACTCATGATCTCGCTCGGCCCTGGAGAGAGATCTGGTAAGACCAGGACCTCTCGCCTCTCACCTGGACCTAACGGCAAGGAGCCGACAGACACTAGCATAGCAATATCTACTGACTTCCAAAGATCCCTGTCCATAGTGACCAGGCTAGTGGCAGCTAAGGTGATATGCTAGCTGGTTTTGTGTGTGAACTTGACATAATTCAGAGTTGGGACAGAGAAAGGAGCCTCAGTTGAAGAAATGATCCAGTTGTAAAGCATTTTCTCAATTAGTGATCAATCAGAGAGGGCCCAGTCCATGGTGGGTGGGGTCATCCCTGGGCTAGTGGTCCTGGGATCTATAATAAAGCAGGTTGAGCAAGCCACGGGAAGCAAGCCAATAAGCAGCATCCTCCATGGCCTCTGCATCAGCTCCTGCCTCCAGATTACTGCCCTGCTTGAGTTCCTGTCCTGACTTCCTTTGGTGATGAACAGCAATGGCAAAGTGTAAGCTGAATAAACCCTTTCCTCCCCAACTTGTTTCTTGTTTTTGGTGTTTTGTCACAGCAATAACACCTAAGACGGGGGTGGTGGTGGTGGTGGTGAATTTTGAGGTGGGAAAGAAGCATCAGAAAATGATCAATAAATATCTCCACTCCCCTTTCTGCACGACATTAAAGTAACTACGGGAGAACACTGCAGACTCACTACCACTGAAGGTACTGCCTGTTAAGTGAGTTCGCTAACCATAAAAGGAATGACGTTTGCTACTTTCTGCTCAGAGAGTTCCTTTACTCACTCCCTATCTTCACATAGGTGCCAAACACAGGCCGGAAAGAGGATGCTAGAGGACCATGAAGAACTTCATCACTAACCCACTTTAAAAGCTGCCACACCTAAAAACATGGCGCAAGTAGCTAGCTTTGCGTGACCTCAGTTGCAAGACCAACCCCATGGAAGTTCAAGAGGCACAGTCAAAGGGGCCCAGGCCTGGGTGAGGGGGTGACCTTTCCCAGTAGCATAGTCCAGCAGGTACAGGGAAAAGAAGAAGCAGAAATGGCAAGCAGAGAATCTGCCCTTTCCCACCCTTCCTCCTCCAGATGATTGGTTCCTTGGGGTCTAATCCCCAAGGTTAGGAATGACAATACAATGCCCAGGTTCTGCATGGAGTAAGTCTAAGGAAGAAGCTTCTCATGGGGGATCAAGTGCACTGTTCTGTCAGAATCTGAAAGCTTACTCTCCCTGCTCCTGGAGGAGGCAGGGCTGACTGAGGTTTCCAGAAGAGCTCCCTGTGGTTGGAGAGGGACTACCGGATGGGTATGCTCACTTCTGAGTGCTTCTTTGAGACTTTCAGTCAGGTATCCCAACCTTGAGTAAGGTTCTTCTCGAAGCCCAGAGAAAGCCCCTAAGAACTGTACTGGGGATGCTGGCACTCCTCTAGGGGATCGATGAACTTGCTCCCTGGACAGACAGAGAAACCGACATTGGGAAAGACAGAAGGTGGAGCAAGATGTGGAGAAAGAAAAAGTAAGTTCCTCCTTGATACAGCAAACGGTTCCATGCGGGATGGGAGTCTCCAGAGGTGTCTGGCTTGGGCCTTTTATAGAGCCATTGGGTCCTCACCTTTGCTGGGATTCAGACTGGGACAAACAGCTGAGGTGAATATTTAATGTACCAAAGCAGACCTGGCCTTGAGGTTCTCCCAGCATCCCTCAGTCCATAACTGGCATACTATGCCCTCTACCCTGAACTTCGCAGCCACAAAACTGTGAGGTATCTATATTTTGAACCAAGAAAGACTCTCTTTCTATACAACATGAGCTAGAGATGTATACTTTGTAGAAAAGCCTTGAAGACATTGAAATGGGGGTCGGGGAGGGGCAGGGACTGGCAGTTCCTGGGTGACCTTCCAATGGAACACTATACAGCCCTGCAACTTTATTTTAAAAAGACCTACGGCAGGTGGATAAAATGATGGCCATGAACTATTAAAGGAGCCATCCAGGTCTAGTCTCACCAAACAGACCTCTGCTCTCTGAAGCTTGCCCACAGCTGTTACAGACTGCAGGCTAAGACGGCTGTTACAGACTGCAGGCTAAGATGGGGATCTTCAGCAAGGCCTTCCCCAGAATCTCACGGAGAGGGATGGTGCACTAAGGACCTTAAACTACTGACTACTGACACTCCCAAGTGCAGACACTTGGGCACAGGCTTCCGAGCTGACATCCCCGAGACATATGAACAGGCCGCACTGGCGCAGTACGCGTGTCCAGGACTGTTTTCAATCCGGAAGCAACAGTTTTATATACACCAAGTGCCAACCCAAGATTCAGCAGATCAGAATCCCAAAGGGCAGGATGACCCGAGGAGCCAAGCTTCCCTGAGCTGACAGGGTTTTAATGCTCCACTTCGTGGCTATATAAGGAAGCAACAGCTCTTTCTTCTCAAGCTGTCAGTGTATGGCAGTGCAGGAGAATCTGCTCCACAAAACAGAGTTAAGCTTCTCCGCACTCTTTGAACACTGTGACCGAGTCCGTCTACTTTGGCAAGGCAATGTAGCCTTGGCTTGCCTTGAAAGGCCATGTTGGAGAATGCTGGTCAGTTGACAGCAATGTCAAAAAAGTGTAAGGAGCTAATACCTGCAAAACTCTTCCAAGAAAACTGACCCAGAACCAGTCTTACAGGCCTGTAACCTGCGCCCTAGTTCCAAAGGTAGGGTACTAATCTCGTTTAGGCTAACAAAGGGCACTTCCTCATAGACAGGGAACTTCATCCATAAGGACATTCAAGTAGAAAGGAATTCTCTTAAATATATAGACAGTACAGGTGAATGCAATTGTTTCTTAGGTTTGTTTTCCTAGCTCTGAGCTGGAAAATAATTATAAACCTTTAAACCTGAGTTCTACCACACCGGTAGCTACTCGGCACGGTACAGTTCTAGACTACAAAGGAAGTCTTTAGGGTCACTTAACATCAAAGCACACCCACGCAGATACACAGGCCAACCATACAGAGAACAGCCATTTTATAACCAACAATAACCTGTGAGACTTTGTTTCAGGAATTTTTATTTTGAAAGAGGTTGAAAAAAAATATTGGGTGAACTCTCAGTGGACGAAGTATGTGTCCCTTCTGGATCATGCTACTCTGGATAGCCTACAAGCTGGTTTTGTGCCCTACCTTTATTTATTGATTTTTTTTTTAATCTTTGAGGTGCTTTACAATCCTGTAACTTGTAGCAAGCTGATAAGAGCCAGAAACTTTGTCCAGAGATAACGAAATGAATTCTGGTTGAGACATTAAGATTTGACCTCCTTGAGGAGGACAGTCTTACATCAACTTCTTCTGTGTCTGCTCTTGAATTCTTTGAGCCCTCCACTGAGGTTTTGTGATAAAATATGGAACCCAGAGTCTTGTAAATATTTTTTTAATGCTTCAAGTTCTTACTACATCGTTCCAGGCTTAGCCTCAAACTTGCCTTGTAGTCTAGACAGCCCTCCCCCTGCCTCGTTCTTTTGGGTGTACTACCATGTCCCACACTGTAAATCATCTTTAAACTTCCTGTTCCTTAGTTTATTAAATGAGCTAAAGTTGGGTATGGTGGCTCATGGCCTTGATCCCAACACTCGGGAGGCTGATGTAAGAGGATTGCCATTGAGTCTGAGGTCAGCCTGGTCTACATAGTGAATTACAGGCCTGTCTGAGCTACAGAGACCCTGTCTTAAATAAATAAATGCAAGCAGCAAGACATGATTTTACAGTATGCAGCCTGTTCATGTGTATTTTGTATGTGTGTGTGCATGCCTATGTGTTGTTCAGTCTTTATCTTGAGTTCTCTTTAGATGTGTTATAACAGTGATCTAGGATAATGTTCCTCAAAAAAAAAAAAAAAAATCCCTCCCTCCCCACCTTGAATTTATTGAGAAACCTTTATCTTCTCCGTAGGTTCTAAAGAACACCTTTCTGGTACCATTTGTGCTGTCCATGGTGGCAATTATTTTTATGCCAATACCAATTTGGTTTTAGTGCTTGTAGCTTTAAGATGAATTGATAATTTGATTATTTTGATATTATGTTAAATCTAGCAAGCAGATCATAGTTCAACTTGAATTAGTCTAAAATTTAAAGTAACCAGGTTCCCTATTCTATGGTTGCTACAACGTGTCGTACTGTAACAGAGCAGGTATTGGGTACACTGTGTACAACCTACTGATTCTGAGGAATGGAGAAATGTCCAGACCAGATGATACCATTAAAGACAAACAACCTAGACAGGATCTTGCTGAATAGCCCAGGCTGGCCCACTTTGCATTCTCTTGTCACAGTTTCCCACAATGCTGGATGGCAGGCATGTACCACCAGGACCAGCTACATCTGTGTTCTTGAAGATAAACTTCCATAAGCTAGAATCATGGACGTGGACAAGCCCCCCCCCCCCACACCCCCTGGCCACTTCAGTGCATGAAGAGCCCTTAGCACTATTTCCTGGAGAATCACACCGAGACTTGTAAGTACTTTAATTCACATTTTAATGTTTGAAAACTATGTTAACACTGCATTTATAGAACATAACTTCTTACATTTTTTTTTTATTTATACCACACCCCGGAGGAAAAAAAAATACCCAACTTTATGTGATGGACAGTGAACAAGTAAGTTTTGTTACCTGTGGTTCACTTTGGATGCCCACCTGAAATCATTTACAAGGTTTTTACATTAGTAAAATAGTGGTGTGCTACATGTACTGAGTCAGGTGGGGATCTAAGACACGCTGGACTCTAGAGACTGCACTGCGTACCGATGATTACGGTTCAAGTGTGGGGGGAGGGGGGAAACAGACAAGACAGTCTATGTTGGCATCAACGCTAAAAGGCAGACATGCAAGACCTTCAAAAGCTTAAAAGTAACAGATGTTCTCCTTCAACTCTGTGCTCAAATTACTGTTCAGCTCTCCTCTCAAGGATCCCAAAGTTTGGGAAACACCAATTCCATTTTGGAAACAAACAAACAAACAAACAAAAACAACAAACCCTCTCTAACTTCTGTTTTCACAAATTCTATGCAACAGCATCAACGTTAACGGTGAAAGAACATAATGTAGAGAAAATTTCTCCTTTTGGGCATGTCTGTTTCTATATGACAATAATTTTTTTTTCATAAATCATCCTTATCTGTAGCATCTAGACAACAGATTGTAATACCAGCGTAAGAGATCAGAGCAGTTATTTCCCAGACATTTCTTCTTTTTCCAAACAATTAAGGTTTTAGGCTCCAGATTTACATTGACAGAACTATGAGAAAGAAGGTAAAGTACTTCTGATTCCCAATCAAACCCACTAACATCTATGAGAACATGTATTTCTTATATGCCGAATACTAGTGACCTCTATTTCTGTGTGGATCAACATCTGCAAAAATATACAGCTGCCTATGTATTTACAACATATTTACATACAGACGAAGGATTCCTAAAGTGGGCCTCAGCTGCATAGATTCTTTAAGCCTGTGTACAGATAGGCCCAGTGCTTTGTGGTTCTTCCTCAGGGAAGCTCTAAGAAGAAAGCCGTCTGCATCCATTGGAAATTAGCATCGTTCTCCACAGACCCACCCCTTCAGACTTAGCATTTACTTTCAGTCATTACCCACAAATCCACTTTGAAGCCCCAAGTCTTTATTATTGTCAGCAACTCACTGCGTTTTGGACTATGTTCTGTTGTAGAAGGATTCTCAGATCTGCTATATTGAGAGGGAAACATTGTAACATTGCTAAGAATGTGATAACTTTTTCTGAGTGCCTGGATGCTCTCTTGAATAGGAAGGACCATTCTCAAAGCCTAGCCCTGTTCTAATCAGATAAAGGTTCTCCTCTAAATTATAAACCACACAGATGATCATACCTCCCCCCTCTGCCCTAGTGCAATTAACGAAGCCACCTCACATTGTGCTCAGACCAGGCTCCATGTCCCTTACAGCCCCTTTCAGCTCCCTCAGCAGTACAGACCTGTCACTAGAACATCCCGTGTATTAATACTTTCTATTTTGCAGTGGTGGGACTTAACTTCACCAGGCCAATACCCCACCCTACCATGGACAGGTCCCCTGAAAACTCAGCAGTGCCCTCAGGGCTGCATTAACAAAAGGCATTTTTAAAAGTTTACCTACATTTTCTGAAAGCCTCAGCTGGAGTTTTCACAGCTGTAAGAAAACAGACTAGTGCCTCAGGTGAGGTTCCCTAAAGTGCAGACACCCAAGTTTACTCAGACCCTTGAGCTGCCTCTGCAGCCAGACAGAACACAGTAGGGGCTACTTACAGTGCTCTCCCTATCCTGCATCTGCAGACATCGGCTGGGTTTTGTTTTTTTTTTTTCCTACCCTTCCTGGCTCTCATTCCTCAGCCAGGGAACCAATCACCTTCAGAGGTTGGGTTTCCCAAGCTTGAGGACAGGTTGCTTTATCCACCGAGTCTGGTGGGGCTGACAATTTGTTGGTAAGGCTCATGCTGCTGGCCTGGGGGTTGGGGGGGGCACAATTTGAATAACACGAGTTTGGGGGCTTGAGTTCTTGGCATAATTGTTACGGTGCGATGTCCCACCACAGACCTTAGTCTGCTGCCACCCGCCCCAATGCTCTCATATGCTTCTCAGCAGGGTCCACAAATACAAAAGAAGGATGGAGAACTTTCATACTTTTCATCTGATCACCAAGCAGTGAAGCACAGGAGACGCTGAGAGTGCCGTGTGCTGGCCCCCAAAGCTGGTACCTGGGAGAAGGGGAACCCTAACAACCCCTCTTCTTTGACTACCATCCTACACTCAGGGGTTTGAACTTAGCCCCTCTAATCTTCGAAGAGACCATGCTTCAGGGCACTGTGGTGGAGCCCTGAGCCCACTGCCCAGCAGGCCATCTGTGGCAGAGATGAACAGCCCGGATGCCACAACAGGCAGTGGGGTATTCCTAGATTACTCCAACACACCCCACCTCCTGTCTGGGGGGGGGGGGCTTGCCTCTTCTTCAGTCCTGTTACTTTATTTCAGCTCATCACTTTTCCCCCCGTTGCTCTGGAGGCCTCACTGCCACATATAACCCAACGAAGAAAAATCCATTCCAGGTTACTAAGCTTTGGAATATGTGCTCCCTGTGACCAGGCCTAGCCCAGGCCTAAAAGAGTAAGTTTTCCTTCTGCGCACGCTCTGTGAACCCTATTTCTAACAAGCAACACTAATCTAGGAATCTACAGTATTCTGTGTTACAAGAACCAGAGAACAGTTCTAAACCCAAAGTATGAAACTGGCCCTGGTCAACAGTGTGAAGAGGCTGTGTGCTGAAAAAAAAAAAAAGTTTCCCTCGGCGAAGGTCCACTACTAATTTAGCAGAAAAGTACCTGTTACATTTGACTGTGCTGTTGAATGCTACCTTACATCTGTGATACAGGTATGTTTTGGCTACCATTCATTATTCTGAACAAGAGTAAGAACAGTCCACTCTACAGAGAATACCACAGGAACTATGGAATTATTCGGCGGTACCTGACAAATGACAGAAAGAGCCATTATAATCAAATAAACTCAGGTACACCTACAAAAGAGGTTAAAAAGAAAACCCAGGTATCACAGAGATCAACAATGTGCGACCTGCAAATAAATATACTGTAAATAATACATTAGTTTTACCAACACAAAATCCAGAGGTCCGAAAAAAAAAATTACAACACATCCCAGAGTTAGTGCGTTTCTGAATTCACTTTGTGAATGTTAAAATAAGGGGTAAACCAGCAAGAGGGGAATGCAGCTTGCAAACCGAATTAATGTATTTTTTAAACAATGCAAACAGAGCCACAAAGCCAAATCTTCTAACATTTCCCATGACGTGGAAAGCGTTTGGGTAAAGGGCAGAGACGGCTGTGAGTTTTACCCTTTTTCCTGTTTAGGCCTTGTGGTCAGCTTCCTGGACTTGAGGTGAACAGAACTCTGGAGCGGTATGAGAAAGTAATGATGCAATGCAGAAAACAGATTTTCCTTCTTCCCCAGGAGCATAGTGACAGGTGCTCTGATGCCCACCCTGTCTGCAGGACTTCAGTGTGGTAAGGGACATCTCTATGTGACTCTTGTGAGATTCCTCAAGACCTCTGGGGATTTCAGACACGAGGAACAGCGTGTATAGCTAAGTGTCTGGGCCACTCTGTTAGCTTCTACCCACCCCCACGTAAGAAATCTGTGCTCAGTGCAGGTTTGTATCTGAGAATTTCAACCAGAATACAACTGGCTGCAATGTAGGCCGTTTACAGAGAGCTGTCACTGTGCATGTGCACCTCACTTACTGTATCTAAGCTATGGGCGGCCACAGGTATCCCCATCAGCAGGGGCATGGTACTCTGGGTTCCTTAGCTGCCGCATCTGAGGGGCTGGGAGAGAGAATAGGCAGCTCTGCCCTCTTGCCTGGGGCACACAGAACAGGCATCATGAGATAAAAGGAAAAAAGCAAAACAGACAGGGAGGGGCCTCCTGTCATCCCCAGCTGGAGCAAGAGTGGACACACAGTGACTTCAGTGGTCCTCCACTAAGCCTCTCCTGGGAGGTTGACTTTCAGGACTGGATGAAGAGTTAATGGAGACTAGAAATGAGGCTTATTTAAGGTAAAAAAATCTCCTATTTGTAGTAACCTAGATTTATAGATATAAAACAAGTCTTTCAAAGACTCCATTAAAGTAAAGTACCCAGTATAAAACAGGCTGACCTATCGCAGGCCATCCATAGGTACACGTTCTTCTCTGTTGCAAAAAGCTGGTGGACATGACTCAATGCTGCCAGGCTTACAAAGTAACATATCATTTCCCCTTTAACAATATGGGTGTGGGCTGAAGGTTAAGGAGTATGTCCCTTAGCATCTGGGCAGTCTCACTTGTTGTCATGGGAACCGAGGGACCCCAAGCAGGTGATTTAGCCTAAAGTAACTGTGGCGTCAGATGCCAAGGGGTAACCAAAGCTTCACTCCTGAGCTCTCTCGAATGTGTATTTTAATATACATACAGAGGCGCCGTGCTTAAGCCTTCCCGGCTACAGACACTCCCAGGGACTCGCTCCACGTGGGAGCAGGATGGAGTAGCAGCGGCAGGCCTAGGTCAGTCCACGTTGGGTGATCAGAGCTGCCTCAAATATTGGGCATGCTCAGATGCAGCCACGGCACCGCAGCCTGTCTCTCAAAGGATTGTCCCCGTGTGCTATGTTAACCAAAATAGGCAAATTATTTATGAAACCTTTTTTTTTTTTCTGAAACCTTATTTTTTTTTCTGTAAAGCAAAATAAATATATACAATTCAAGATTATTTTCTCTTCTAAAAAGATACAGACAGTGTGAGCGGAGCGTCAGTAGGAAAACAATCTTGGGAGCTGGGTATCTAACAACTGAAGACAACTGTCGATCATGTTTCTGAAGTTCTGAGAGAGAGAAGCCACAACAGTGGGAAGAGGGGAGGAGAACTGTGGGAAGGGCTGGACAAGATGGCTGCACGAATATCTGGAGAAGCAGAAATCCACGGTCCCTAAGCGGAGGTCCCAAGAGGACGAGGGTCCTTCTAGAAGTGAGTCTCTGAGTGGCAACCCGAGAGGAACCCTGTGCGTTTCTGTTTCTGTAAACTTGCAAAAAGAAGTGGCGGAAGGCTGTTGACGGGGACTGGATGGGTGTGAGCAGATGCCGGGCTGTTGCTGCTGGTTTCAGTGGCCTTCGTCATTGCCGGATGAGCAAGCCCAGTCGTAGATGACCAGGGGGATACTGATCAAAGAGAACAACACTCCCAGGCCCAAGAAAAGGGCCGCCTGCAGTAAGGAGACATGGGTTATTTCCAACATGGCCGACACTTTCTACATGGACCCCAGGAAGAATAGAAACCTCCGCCCGCCTCCATAGTGTCCCCTGGTATCTGGAGTTCGTTATGACCGTGGCTGAACTTTCAAGACTCTCTTCTAAAACTGGGGGAATGTGATCCTGCACAAGGGGCAAACGGCAAGCAGCTCTGGTGCTTCACCTTCTACTCTCGACTTCTGGGTCACCTCGGGTGTCTGCATGCTACAAATGACTGGGCCTCCTGATGAGTACCTCTCTACAAAGATAATAAGCTGGGTGTGGTGGCACACGCCATTAGTCTCAGCACTTGGCAGGCAGATTCCTGTGAGTTCCAGACCAGCCTGGTCTATACGGGAGTCCAAGCCAGCCATGGTTAGAGTTACAGAATAAGACCCTGTCTCAAAATTAAAAAACAAAACCAAAGCCCCAAAAACCAAAACCCAGCAACTCCAAAGAGCCTTGGGAAACCTAGCCAGCTCATTTTGATAGCTATTACTTATCAATCTACATCATTACTGAGAAACAAACATTTCTGCCTGTAAAAGCAAAGCGTATGTTGATCTGATCTCAGGGTATTGGCAGCAGGGCAAAACTAAGTGATTTGAAAGAAACGTCAACGAAGGCCACATGTGGATCGGTCAGTCCAGCACATGGGGGACATTAGCATACACACTGCTTGAACTTGATAACACTTCCCACAGGCTTTGTGGGCTGGGGTTGGGGGTTCTCATGAGAGCCAGGGGCTTAACTGGAAACTGGAAGGGAGTCAGAGCTAAGCAAACAGTAGTAAATGGTGTGGCTAATTGGTCTAACACCCCGTAGTCCCTGGTCAAGCAGAGCTTGCACTCTCTGGGAGACCCAGTTTTATTATGGGAGCTGGGCTGGAGAAGTCCTGGGCAGCTCCACTGTTTGTAGCTCTGGTAGGAGTTGGTGAATGTCTTGCCCTGGAAACTGATTCCTTCTTCCTATCTTTGTGAGGACTCTCTGCACAGGGATAGTGGATCTGAGACCCAGGGCTTTAAGGATGATTCTACTGGAGAACTCGGGTTTTACCAGCGTTGATGATCCCTCTCCGAAGTGCACAGTGAACCATCCATCCTGCCTGCTCCACTCCTCTGTTCTGGGTCCAGAGACTAAAGAGACATGTGTGTCATGGTGACTGCAGAGGCTACATTATCTGGGAGGCAGCTGAGAAGCTTTCTCCTCAGCCAAGCAAAATGGTTCTCCAGACCAGACCGAGCCTATAACCTGTTCCTTTATAGATCGAGCCACTTAACCCTGGTTCCTTTATTGTCCAAGCATATCATCTTCAAGATGCCCTTGAACTTCAGCAGACCCACAAACAATCCCAATAGAGAAAGGTGGTTCTGAATCCAGATCTGCTTGTTCCAAAGGTCAAATCATAGAAAACACACTGCCTGTGTCCTGGGTTGCCTTAGGGAGCCAGATGGTAACAAATCACTCCCTATCTTGCTAAAGACAAGACATTGTTCTACAGAGACACAGGAGTGCAAATGTCCCTTCCGCTAGGCAGTCAGGCTCTGAGTGAGAACAGAGGCAAAGGCCCAGTCAGAGCAACACTGGAAAAGCTATTGGGAGGACATGGGAAGCGTTCTGATCTGAAGCTTTGGGTCTCCCAAGGGGAGATTGTTTACTTACAAGTTTAGATGGGAAACTAATCAGAAAAATTAATAAGAGTGGTCTGGCAAGAGACATACCCAAATTCTTTGAGTGCCTTTATCTCCATCCTGGTTTGTGATTTTTAAATAAAGAGACGAAGGAAGAATGAAAATGAGCATGTTAGCAGACGTAACTCCTGCAAATAAAGAAAACAATTGTTTAGGGCTGTTACTGGAAAGCGTGAACCACAAAGAGCTTCTGGGCTCGTAAAACGACCGTAAAACCATACCTACGACTCCAAAAATATCCTTCATGGAGGGGATGAAGATCACCAACAAGTTGATAATCACCAAGAGGATGATGGTCACCAAGACATGGCGGCACAGGTGGAACTTCGTCTTCTTGGCCAGCTCAAATAATGATGATCGAACCTGCAGCAAAAGCAGAGCAGAGATTCCAGACGGCTCTTGACAGCTCCTGACCTTCACCCTCAGAAGAGCTCATTTATTGATGTATGGGATTCCTCACGAATTTTCTTAATGCTCGGCACTTGCTTAATAGTTTGAAGGTATGGAATCTTGACACCAAGTGTTAAGATCATGTATGAAATACTGTTTCCCTTTGGGTGGGGTAATTTCCACTGGAGTGGTCTCTATGGTAAGGTAGGACTGAGAGGCAAATACTCTATTATCTATATTTTTGTAAACAGAGAGCAGTGGAAGATCAGAATGCAGATCCAGTCCCTAGAAGCCACACTAACTCAAGGGTCCCACCTGCTGTCTAAGAGTGTAGAGGCTTGGGCTGAGCCAACAGTCAAGGACCAGAAAACCTATCTGTGGCAGGCTTTCTCCAAACACAATCCTGAAGTCAGAGAGAACGTCCAAAGCCCCGTGTTTCCCCTATTACCCGAAGGCCCTTTACTTACTGTGAAAAACAACACAGGTACCGTGAGGATGACAGCCACGATGACAGCCAGACGCACTGTCAGGATGAGAATGTCACCTGTGCTTTGGTACTTGTGAAGGAGGTCTGATTGAACTTTTTCTGAAACAAAGAGGGAGTTAGCAGGATATTAAAGGAGACCCTCAAATTGCTCAGTGACTGCTCACCTAAATAAGTGAGACTCTGTAAGAGCCAGGAAGGTATGTTGGCTGGTTTTGTGTCGACTTGATACCAACTAGAGTCATCAGAAAGGAGGGAGCTGAGGAAATGCCTCCATGAGATCCAGCTGTAAGGCATTCTCTCAATTAGTGATCAAGAGGATGGGGGTGGGGTAGGGTGGGGGGAGCCTAGCATGTTGTGGGTGGTGCCATCCCTGGGCTGGTATTTTTAGGTTCTATAAGAAAGCAGGCTGAGCAAAGCCAGTAATCAGCAACTCTCCATGGCCTCTGCATCAGCTCCTGCCTCCAGGTTCCTGACCTGCTTGAGTTCCTGTCCTGACTTCCTTTGGTGATGAACAGCAATGTGGAAGTATAAGCTGAGTAAACCCTTGCCCCTCAACTTGCTTTTGGTCACAGTGTTTCATCACAGCAACAAAAACCCTGACCAAGACAGAAGGCAAGGTTCTGAAGGCTTTGAACAATCTGCAAATTCAAGGAAATGTCTGTATGAGGCGAGTGCCATCAGCTCCGTGGCATCTGAAGTCCTCAGTACAAGGAGCTGCCTAGACCCGGAGGCTTCATCTGTATTATTGAACACATATTTGGGAGTGTGAAGCCCTTCCTATCTGCCTTTCCACACCAGAAGCTCACACCAAATAATGTCAGACTCCCAGGGGGAACAATGGGCCACACAAGCCTCTCTCCTTCCAACCTGCTCCTTCTAACTTAACTTCCGGTGCTCAAGCAGCAGGCAAGCAAACTCAAGTGCCATCAGAAAAGAACTCTTCGAGTTTGTATCCATTTCTCCCGCACAACAGCCATGAGTGCCTGAGAGACTTCCATTTGCCTCAACTCAAAACTATACAACCTGTTATGTCAAAGGCCGTGGATACCGAGACGGAAGCCGAGAAGGGCGTGAAAAACGCTCACCCTGGACGAGTGACTACCTAGCCCCTCACGACTCTCCTCCAGAGGTTCTCACTGCCACAATCTCAAGGTTGTGGGCAAGAAATTCAGATTGTGACCACCCCCACCCCCCATCATGGTGCCGCTGGCTTCTGAGAAAGGACTGGAGGTTATAGTAAAAAAAAAACAAAAACAAAAACAAAAAACCTAACTCATTAGATGGATTTTTCTCTCCTCAAAAGGCATTAACCACCTATAAATAGAGAGGATTCCCCATCTAATCACACAAACAAACCCGGGTTCTACTACTGTTGAAAAAATGGACTCATAACTTGAACAAGGTCCCTCAGGCCGTGAATGCTAGCTCTCTTTTCTCCCATCCCCAACCAGCCTTGTGATACAGGAAACCCTAGAACGGTATTTTTATAAGAATAAGGAAGGTGGTGGTTACCAACTCATTTGGCAGTGCTATCTATCCTCTGATGCTTATGAAATCAATAACCTTCCTCCAGGCTAAGTTAGCCTGTAAATCTGTTTAAATTTTAGATTTTGTGATGAGGAGTGAGTCCTAAAGAAGCATTTAATAGAAAGGATAGTAGAATCTAGTTAAATAGTTCTCAAACCACAACCTTCACGGAAGGGTTGAGCAAACCTGCAGGGGCACGAATGAGAAGCCCCGGCAGGAAAGGCCAGCCACCATCCTGACAGGGTCAGCAGCACGCAAAGTGCTTTCTCTCTACTTTATCTCTCCTGTCATCCCTTCGCTTCCCTGTGGGGCGCCGAGTTCCGGCGAACAATTAGGTGCTTTATTTTTAATTAACGTGGATTTGTCATGAGTGTGGGCTCTGCTCTTTCTCACTTTCACTGTCTCTCTCTCTCTTTTCTATTAATGGAATCTGACCCAGTTTGCAGTGTCAGGTAGGAAAGCCGTCTCTGATGTCATTTTAAATTTTCCTAAGATGGCATGCTTCTAAAATGCAATTTCTCCGAAGAACAAAACTCCAGAGGAAAAAAAAGAATTTATATCTTCTTTTTTCAGTAATTATTCTACTCTGCAGCTTGAATGAACCATTATCATTTGCTATGAAGAAAAACAGAAGAGAAAACACAGATCCTCTGTTTACTCTTTGGCTTCAATGTAGAGTTACTTCAGTATTGGGTTTTCCGGTTGCTTTTAAATACAGCTAGGCATGGCCAGCAGAAGTAACTTACCGTAAAAAGTCAAGTACCCAAAGATGGCCGTCAGGAAGTACATGACAAACATGGCAAAGAAGGAGATGTTGGAAACCATCTGCATTTTTTTCTGTGACCGGCTAAAAACAAATACAGAAGATTTTTTAAAAATTATATTGCTGACCAGCTCTGCTCAGGCTAATGTGTCCCCAAACCAGCTGACCCCCTGCAGTGACGTGGCTTAGAGTAATTCTTTAATAACAAATGGGTGCTGTGAAGCAGAGCCTGGGATTACTCCTGAGAGCCCTTCCAAGGTGCTTTTAAAAGCGTATCATGGGCTCATCTGGAAGATAAACAGTTTTTAAAAAGATGTTTGTGGTGTGGCTGCTTTGGCTTCCCATGATGACCATGTATAGGAAAATTCAAATGTTTTCCTCTCAGCCCAAGAGGTGAGTTAGATCAACTGATTGGGTCATGTCAGCTGACTGGGTTCTGGTTTGGCTTAGCCTCAGGTATACCTGGGCTATCTCCAAGCATTCAAGAGCTCTCTGCTAAAATGGCGACAGGCTCCAGCTCCCAGGTCAAGCTTCCACTGGGGTTGGGATGACCCTTCAAGCTGAGCTACCAAAGAACTATGGCTTTAGACCAGTTATAGATTCCCATGAGGCTGTCAGATAACAAAGGTGTCATGGGGAGTCTAGAGAAACAGGAACACTGGAAAGGACTCGGTAAAAGGGGGTCACAAACTTAATACTGACTACTCACTAAAATTTTTTTTATATATATAAAATGAATGTAAAGATATATTTATAAAATTCTCTATGTTCGGACCAAATGGGAAGAACAAAGTGTGTGTACATAGATGTAGGCATTTCAAAATATAAATCCAGCCTTGTATCCGTTAGCTAGGAGACTCAAAAAAAAAAAAAAAACACTCAAGAAGAAACCCTGCCAAGTGCTAAGGGATATCTCACAGCGGGAATGGCAGCCATTGTGTGCTCCTTCTGAGCTTAAGACTGTGTGGTGACAGTCTTTATGTAGAATGAGTCTGAAGACCCTGGGCTAAAAAAAAAACACATATGAGAATTTATAACGCGGCCTTTAACTCTCTCTGAGACAACATAAAAGCTAAACCCGTAGGAAGGAAGGGTGGTAGTGAAGAGAAGCTGAGACAAAGGGATTGTGAGTTTGAGGGTAACCTGGGCTACCTAGTAAGATCCTACCTTAAAAACAACAAATTCGATTTCAAAACAACTGTATGTAACAAAACTCAATACAGATACTCGAACTCTTAAATAATAACAATATTTGGAGAAAAAACAAAACCAAAGCAAACTAAAATGCCTACATTTGGGCAGTGGGTGTGGAGACGGCTCAGTGAGAGCACGGCTAGAATTCAGATTCCTAGAAATGAAGTGAAAAGCTGGCATAACCGGGGGCACCTGTAACCCCAGTGCTTGGGTGGGGGGAGGGGAAGGGGGCTTCACTGGGCTTGCTGGCTACCAGCTTAGCCAGAGATTCTGTCTCAAGGAGGTATGGTAGGAAGAGTGGCTGAATCTGAGCACATCCCAGCATGGTGTGTACACACACACACACACACACACACACACACACACACACGACTAATTAATTAAGGCCAATAGCTTGTTACTTTCTTAATTTATAGCCAAAGATACTGCTCATTCTGGAGCTTCCTTAACACAGGGCTTGCTCGAGAATGGTAGGACACCAGTGGACGTTGAAACCGGATGTGTAAGTCTGTGTGTATTTCCACACAGAACCTGCCCGTCGGTAGGCAAGGTAATAATGAACCAGGTATACACAAGCGCAGGGAATCTTACTCTTTGAGTTCGCTGTAGATCGGCAGCACGGACGGGTGGCAGACAAACGCGAACGCAATGGTTGGTAAAGCATACACCGTCTACACGAAGGAAAAAGAACACGCTCAGGAGAGATACTTTCACCCACAAAATCACGCAGCTGTCTTAGGTCTGACTTATTATTAGCCTGCTCCTCAGAATCCCGGGATTATGTGATGATTAAGAGGATTTTGGTCTCCAGATAGGAGCAGCTCTTCCAAGAAGGCTTATTCAGCAGAGCCACCAGACTCTTCTGATCAAGGGACTTAGACCCGCCCCCCATGGTGAGTGTCAAATACCCCAGCACAGGGACACTAGGTTGATGCTGAACTAGTCAGGTACGTGGGTCCCCCATGCAGCTGAGAGCAGAGGATAGGGCATTGCTCTCTGACATCCTTTAATAAATGATATGACTTGTTTAAAAGACCATGTCTAAATCAGGAGGTGATGGGGCACGCCTTTAATCCCAGCCAGCACCCTGGAAGCAGAGGTAGGCAGATCTCTGAGTTCAAGGATAGCCTGGTCTACATAGTGAGATTCTATCTCAAAACGAACAAACAAAAAATGGTATCTAAAAAAAAAAAAATAGTAGAGAGTACCATAACTCTCTACTTTGGATGAGTATATTTTTAGAGAGTAAAGAAAGAAATCTATTGATTTTCTTGGAGGAGATATTTTTTTTAAAAAACACCCAAATTCAGCTTCTAATAAAAACAAACAAACAAACAAACAAACAAACACACACACATACACACAAAAAATGCAACTAAAACTAAACAAACAAAAAAACAAATGAAAGTAAAACAAAACCTGAGAGAGAGAGTAAGGAAAAGTAACGTATGTTATGATATAACTGTCCCAAACACCTTCCAACAGGAACCCGTGACAGGAAAACACGACCTTCAACTTCACACAGCCATTGGAAGCCCCCTGAGGGTTCCAACCCAAGTCTTACTGACTACAGAGGTGGCTATTGTCTTCTAGGCTGCCAACCAAACCACAACTGTACAAAGGTTTCTACGGTGCTCAAGGCGGAGGTTCCCTCCACACCCTCCCACAGCAACAGTGGGCTGAGGGTGTGACTGATCAAAGCACCACCCAGCACGCCACACAGGAAGAGAGGCATGAAGACAATCGCCCAGAGAGGTTGTTACAAGAGTGCAAAGGTAAAGGGTGTGACCGAAAGCATGGGTGTGCAGCACAGTTGTGTATTTCTCAAAGGCGTGTGAATGAGTAGCGTACAAAGGGATGGTGTGCTGTCTTCTTTTAAAGGTGAACGCATCCCAAACAGGTGGTTACAACAAGCACAAGAGACATTACTGTCCTTGACAAAAATGCTTACCTTTGAGTTGAAGGTGACATACTTTGGTGTGCATGCATCAGTCACATTAGCACTCACTGTTGAGTTCTGTTCCACATTCATGCAAGGAGTCTGAAATTTCTTGTAGATGACCTGTTATTGAAAGACACAGGAGAATCAACGGAGACTATATTAAAGTCAAGACTTGAACAGCTGCCCCAGGGCCTCCGACAATGTCAAAACTGCAGCTGGTGCTTCCACCGGAACTTACCACTATTAGGAAAAAAACCATGCAGCTCAAGGAAAATCCACTAGTGTAGCCAAGATACCCTTTAAAAAAAATAAAAATAGCAATTACTTTCATGACTTCATTTCTTGTAGGCATTACTTCAAGCACAGTTTGGGATGACAATATGTCCAAGAGTCCATGTGAAAGCAAGATGCTACCACTTGATAGTGCCACTTTACTTGGCAAAATCATAATGGTAATGATAGTAGGGCTTTGAATAGAAGCATCACATGTGGCATTTTGGTTCCAGGAATACCTGGCATATTCCAGGACACAGATCTTAGAATCTAGGGAAAAGGGGGGGCCTCTGGTTTTGGCTCTGAACCTCCATATTGGTGCACCCTACTACCAAACCTATTTCCTTCTTGGTTTTCCCCACAGCTCATTCTTGTGCATTTTCTGTGGGAATCCTGAATGGTACTGATAAACTCTCTCAAGGAGAGGTCAACACAAGTGGACGTGAGCTTCTGGGAACAAACAGATCAGTGGTTCTCAACCTTCCTAATGCTACAGCCCTTTAATACAGTTCCTCATGTTCTGGTGACTTCCAATTGTAACATTATTTTTGTTGGTACCTCATAATTGTAATTTTGCTACAGTTATGAATAATATTGTAAGTATATGATATGCAGGATATCTGATATGCTACTCTTATGAATGAAAGGGTCATTTGACTCCCTAAGGGGGTCATGACCTACAGGTTGAGAAATGCTGAAATAGGGCATTTGAGGGCCTAACTCCTGTTGGAATGTCTGGGAAAGGTGGCCACCTCAACCTTCATAATGGCACATGGCCTCCCAGGAACTGCATTATTCTCATCCTCATAAATGGATAAATTCTCTACTATAATGGGGAAGGACTGTTCTCTACCATAAATGGAACAGACACACCTACAAAAACCCAGAGAGCAGAGAAGTAGTTAAGAAAAGTTACTTATAAACTTCATAGACATCATGCGACTGACTGACACATTTTAGCTACTCTAAGATAAAAATGAACAAACAAACAAACAACCCCCAAAACTCATAACTATATTTGGAAGAATTTGAATATACAGTTTGCCTTAAATTAGCCTAGATTTTAAAATTGCAACTTGGAGCCTACGGACAGATGGAATCCTGCCTTCATTATTCACTGTGTGAAATTCCCGAAGCCCCAGGCATGCTTGTCTCCAAATATAAGCGCAAAAACAAATGTCAAAACCAAATGGATGGCTTGGTGATTGTCTACCATTTTTTTTTAACTTTAAAACTTTCCCTTTGACGGGTGGAATCACTAAGCCTGGCTGTACTCTAAACCGAAGACTGATTTATAACAGTTCTGTTTTGTCTTGGTTATCAGAATGGAAATTTCTAATATAAATGATCAGAATATTTAAAACCACAAGCCAGACAAAGACAGAAGATCTTGAATTTAAGACTCAGGGAGACCCTGTTTCTGAATTCACAGGAAGTAGAGATGTAACTCAGTAGTACACCATTTGGGTAGCATGCATAAGGCCTTGAGTTTGATCCCCAATACCACAAAACACAACACAACACTACTTAGTAGGGGAATTCCATTTTCTGGACTTTTCTTACAGAAGACTGTTAAGCTGTGCTTCTGAAAATACTAAGCGTCTACACTGGTTCCAGAACTTACTTCCTCCCAGCTCCAGCTCAGTAAAAAGGCTTCTCAGAGTCTACACTGTGTTCTTAATCTCATGTTAACATGTTAGCTCTCATTAACCCTTCCAGTTTACGGTTTATTTCAACTATCCTAATAACGCAAACAAAGCTGTCCGTTTTCTGTTTCTGACTTGTCTGGGACTGGACAGCCTGTGACAAAGGTCAGATCTTTCTTTGCTCACCCAGGTTCTTCAAGAGACACAGAGGGAGAATTATGCCAAAGGTAACCATCACCACCAACACTCGGCCATCTACATACCAGGCTCTGGAAGACAAGTAAGGGCTGGGTTACGGTCTTCAATTGGAAAATGACATTGGTGAACCCCATCATGACTTTATCGCTTGCCTCATTCCCATAGATGGAAGTCCCCCGCCCCCCGGCTAAATAAAGCATTCCTATGAATTATTTATGAACCACGGCTTCAAAGCCAACTTCCAGTGGGGCATTCTGTCAGGTTACAACTTGTCCTATCAATCATTTAGAGAGAGAATTCTTTCTCTTTTGTTTGTTTGATATCGGCAAGGAAGGAGTCACCACAGGTAGGCATCCCTCCCTCCTTGATGCTTTGGATTTGACCTTGAATAGAAGATGGGGGACTGCGACTTCTACAGGTTCCCTCGAAGGGAAACAGAGACAAGGCTGACAAGGACCCTTAAACAAGAGGGAAAGGCAATGTAGTGCCAAATGCCATTGGCGGCGCTCCCTAGATTTTTAGGGATCATTAAACTCTTCCCGAAATGCCAGGAACTTTCTTTAAGAAAGAGGTAAGGCTTTCTCTTCTTTGCATGTCGTACATCTGTGTTCAAACACTCCATATGTGCTCTCCTTCACAGCACATAGGATATGGGGGTTCAGGCTCTACCATTTTCAAGGTGATAGATGAATCCAGAGATTCATGGCTTCCTACATCTTCCATTTATTTATCCCCTCCCCAACCCAGCCCCCAGAAGAAAAACATCAGACTCAGGAAAATTTTATTTCTAAAACTTTCATGAAACAAAACTCGGTCACCCTTCATTTAAGCCTGTGGTTCTCAACCTTCCTAATGCTGTGACCCTTTACAACAGTTCCTCGAGTCGTGGTGACCGTGAAATTATTTAGTTACTACCTCATAACTGTATTTTCCGACTGCTATGAATTGTCATGTAATTATCTGATATGCGACCGCTGAGAACCAGTGAGACAATCAGTTAATTACGCCACGCACCAAAAAAACAAGGAAAGAAAAAGGTCAGAAGCTTACGAGAACGCATCCTCCTCTCCCATGAGGGATTTTATGGCTGAAGGAAGTTCATTTTTTACTATGAAGAGGTAGCTCAGCATCGCTGGAGGAGAAGGAGAACAAGTTTAGAAGGCAATACCACAGCTCTTCTTACAAGGCAGAGGGACGGTGGCAGCTGCTCCCGGGGGGCCCACGTTCCGTGAGCACAGGCGATGTCAGCTCCCGCTGTAGCTGTCTGACCCCGCCTCTGCGCTGCTGTCCACGTGCCACATAAACAACAAGGGCTGCTCGGATTGCGTTAGAGCGCACGTGGACGCCCAGCAGCCAGCACGAGAGAAGCCAATAACGCCCGTACAGAACCAAGTCACGAAAGAGAAACCCACTTTCTTACCGCCGGTGTTCTGCAGAGAGGTGGCTCCGAAGATCACCAGCTTCCCCGTGGTGCCGAAGACCTGCTCCCCCAGCTTCTCATAAACCATGCAGCCTGTTTGCAAATTGAGTTTGAGACGACAAGGTTCAAGACAGCTAACATCTCTTGATGCTGTGGGCTACACTTCAAGGCCTAACTCTAGGCCTGTCTCAGACTCATACCTTGGCACTCTTGGAGGGGTTAAGCTACTGTCATTTCGAACAACTTTGACACCTCTAAATGTCATGTCACACACTACCACTGTGTCTCCTTTGTCAATCAGGCTTTAGGAATATTAGAAGTAAAGAGTAGGTCACACTGGAGGGTTTCGGGGGTTCCAATGCTAGCTGATCTTTTTCATGGGTCTGGTATATAATATTAAAGACTTTCATTTTTAGAGATCCTCATGTTGAAGACAATAAATAAATAAATAAATAAATATTCTTTTGCATCAAGGTCCTGAACTGATTAGACTAACAGAATTATCTTCTACTTGAAGTAGGAAGCTCACCCATACTTTAAGCCCCGCCCTCCTTCACCACAGGATAACAATGCCTTCCAGGGAAGGCTCTTGCTGTAGATGGCCATGGTTAAGGCAGACGGTAGTAACAGGCCAAAGCGCTGAGAAAAAGTCACAGTGGAGAGCTTGGCCTCAAACAGGAAAACTGTATCATATCACCTCCTCCCGGGCTCAGGAAATGTCAAGAAGAAAGGTTGCAAAGCGTGAAGAGCCAGAGACAGGAGAGGCACAGCACGGTGTTGTCTCCCGTTCACAACACAACCGTTGATGAGCTCACAGCTGCCGTGTGCCTATACAAGACAGGGCCCTTAAACACTACATGCTGGACAACAGAGGACCCATGACATCCCACGATTCCCTGAGGGACTGTTGGCAATTAATGGCTGCTGGAGGACGGGGCCATTTTCTTGGGTGGTGTAGCCACTGACAGCCCTTGCTCCAGTAAACAATCTCCCACTGTGTATGAAACTGATTAAACTCAGTGGGCCACATACAAAAGTAACAGTAAAAGCAGAAAAGACCTGTTGAGGCAGGTTCCAGTGGGAAGAGAAGGGGCAGAGAGAGGAAAAATCGGGGTACAACCACTAAAATTTATTATACCAATGCATGAAATTGTCAAACACCTCTACAAAATGTTCTTCGTGATATTCTTTTAATCCTTTCTGTTTTAAAAGTAACAGCGAACTTAGAACATCTACTAGTCACTACACAAGAATTTTCATCATGTGTAAATATAGTTTCAAAGACATGTAACTGACTAACAAAAGTGGCAGACAAATCTGCCTGAAGAGGATTTTGGCTGTGGCAAAATTCTCAAGCGGCCAACCAGCTCATTTAAATAAATAGTAAATTTCTAAACCAATTCACCAAAAATAAGTAAATAAAACGTCTGTGCTTCCTGATGGCGGTTCATAATTTCAAAAGGTTCACAAGAAGCAACTTGGGTCAGGCTATAATTAAACCTCGGCTTAGCCTTATGTGAGACTGGTGTTTAAACCAGATAATGACTAGACCCTGAATTTATTACAAAACACTCCAGTCATCCATATACAGCAGCTGGCCAACGCTGCTTTAGCTAATGTAAAATTCAAAGTATTACAAACATAATCCAGTGTCCCAGAAATAGAAAATAAACACTTCAGGTGTTAACACTGCCCAGAGAACTTGACGTCCCTGGTGCTAACTCCCACAATGCCTTGGGAGTAACACTTTCTCATTGGAATATGCACAAAGAGAATAAAAAGCCTGTTTACTTAAGACCTTGGAGCCTACGATATAAAAACATAGGATCTTTGTTCACGGTTTACAAAGGCCTAAGGAAGCAGTGGAGCCTTTAAAATAAGGTCATCTCAAACTAGAAAAATGGGTACAGCCGGGCGGTGGTGGCGCACGCCTTTAATCCCAGCACTTGGGAGGCAGAGGCAGGCGGATTTCTGAGTTCGAGGCCAGCCTGGTCTACCAAGTGAGTTCCAGGACAGCCAGAACTACACAGAGAAACCCTGTCTTGAAAAACCAAAAAAAAAAAAAAAAAAGAAAAACGGGTACATTTGGGAGCTCACTGTAAATGACATTGTCCTGAGCATCCTGCCGTCAACAAAATCATCCATCTCAGCTTACCAGTTTCCTTGGAACAGATCAGAAGAAGGTTTATTGAATATATAGACAGCAATGTCACCGAAGTCAGAAGTATCCTATAGCAAAGAAAATAAATCCAATTGTATTATCTAAAGAGCACATTTTGGAAGGGCAAAGGTCTCCTTCTGGTTAGCACCCAAAGTTAGCCACCTGCTTAATTAAAATCCTCGCTAGAATTCTTCTATGGTTTGAAATGCTCATTGGCATCTGAGTGTACCAGTTACTGCCTGTAATGTAATTAAACACCCAAGCAGGTACATGGGGACATTCGGGTGACTTAAGATCAGGTCATGAAAGAAAGGCTTTGTAGCCTACGGCATGAATACTGTCAGGTTACATCCTGGTGTGAAGATGGTTTTCCAGACTGGGTGGCAGTGCAAGACATCTATGACCTTAAGTGACTGCCCATGTGATTTTAGTGCAGCTGCGTGGCTTCCATACCTCTGATTCCTCATGCATAGCCCAGAGATACACCAGATGATGTGACCTATCACTCAGAAGCTATTTCTCAATCTGAGCATTATGCCATTAATTTAATTTTTTTTCCCTCTGCACCTGGTTCCTCTTAGATGTGGGGGCTTTCCACAATTGAGTACAACATGAGAACAAATTCCTGTTTTTGTTTTAGTACATCTGGCTCATTAACAGACATTTCTCAAGAATAAGGGACAGTTAAAGGGTCGTGGGAGTGTACACAGATTATTTCTACAGTGCTTGAATAAAACATAATAACTGAAAAACAGAACACTTGTTAATTAAAAAGAGAAAACTCCAGCCCACAAACAGAACCTCTTACTTCCTCGTACAGGGAACAATGCCTTGCATAAATTGGTCCCACTTTAGCCTTAGCATAATTAAAAGCAGTTCTTTTTTCTGGCGAGTGTTATTGAGAGGCCCTTGGCACCTCCGGCGTCTCTGTGAGTTCAGGCGGCTCCTAAACCTTCCCCACTGCACACCTGTGGGCCTACAACTCTGGGGCCCGGAGGCTGCCTCTTCTGGCCTCTCTTGTCTTCCCCCACACCAGGCAGAATGGCTGCTCTCCCGGACTCTAAAGCATTGATTCCCCCTGCAAACGGAGCTTCCTTGGAGAAATGAATAGGGAAGAGTTCACGGTCGCCAGAACAGATGGACTCCAGAAACGGATCCGGAAACAAAAAGGCCAAGCTCCATGGAGGCAAAGCAAACACCAGGAGAAAGAACAGTAAAACTGAACACTGGGAAAAGGCAAACCATCCTGCTGGCAAAGGGGAACTGAGGTCATCCATGACCACTGAGAAAGTGCATTCAGATTTGTACTTATTTGGCAAAGGTCTCTGAGTGATGAAGATGATGAGTCCTCAGTGGTCTATTCCGATTGAGGGGCAGGAAGATACTAAGAACAAGCATTTTATTGACCAACCCAGTAGTTTGTAATGGAACAGGATTTGACTTGTGTTAGAAAAGGAAGAACCAGACAGTCTCATTCATATGTTTGTATGTATGTATGTATGTATGTATGTATGTATGTATATATGTATGTATGTGTTGAAGAAACAAGCTTTGAGTTTCATTTCATTGAACACCAAGGGGCAACCTCTACAAGCCCATGTGACATGCCCTAAGGCACAGGGTAACCTGGACTCCCTCGGAGGCATTCTGTTCACAGACCCAAGAACAATGGAGGAAAACTGCAGCCTTGTAAGAGGAGGGTGCACCTAGCAGGAAGAGCTGATCATTGCCATCTACAGACTAACTCGATGCATTCTAAGAACACAGCTGTGGTACTCTCTCATCCACTAAAGAGCTCCTGAGACCACATGGCTCTTATAAAGGATTTCCTTTCCCTTCTGGGGCTCCACCTCTCTGTAGATGATACTCAGTGGTCTTTAGCCAATGGCAGAGGCGAATGCTCCTGACGTACCTCAAGAAACCAGGAAGATTTTGATGAAGTGTCCCTGTCTTTCCCACCCCTGAACACAGCGGGATGAAGCATTCCCATGATAATGAAAATGACTCAGTTCTTCCATCTTTGGTGACACAACACAGCACCCTGCAGTCAACCACACAGAGAGTCTGGGAGTCTTGGCCTCAAACCATCCAATCTCTGAAGATTCTCTTTTTCATTTTTCCCCAAACACAACCCCACTTCTTCTTTCTCCACTCTCCTTCCCTAGAACAGTCTTACCATGTAGTCCAACCTGACCTCAAACCCATGAACCTCCTGTGACAGCCACCTGAGTGCTGAGATTTCAAATGTGAGCCACCACATCCAACCAGAGCTTCTAGTCTGGAACTGGAAACCAGTGTAAAACAAAACCTATGGCCCCAGAGGTTAAGTGCAATGGTTGCTCTCAAGAGGACCAGGACCCATGCCCAAGAGGACATGGCAGCTCATAACCAGTTGTAGCTCCAGTCCCAGGGGATCCGAGGCTCTCTTCTGGCCCACCACAAAGCACTGTACACACATGATACACAGACATACAGGCAAACAAAGCACCCATACACATAACATAGTTTTTAAAAATCCTTTTCTATCAGGTCACTAAAAAGCAAACTGTAGATGTGAAAACTCCGAGAATATACGCTACACCAAAATCTAGCACAAAACTTGGCAGGTTGCACCTTTCTGTTAAGATTTTAGAAAGAAGCGATGTTGTCTAATTGATTCTAACAAACCCAGAATGGTTTAAGAAACTCGAGTTAGAGATGCTTTAAGAAGCACCCGGAAGAGTGAGCCAAGAAGAATAAGGCAGAGAATAAATAAAGTGTGTGTGATTACTTATCAGAACACGTGGGTCTCAAGCTAACAATGGCCCTCTTTGTCCAAACGGTTGAACACATAATCATGGTTTCCTGCAAAGACACAAACCACCCAGAGATCACTGCAGCTTCTACTAGGGAAAAGTCGGTTGCTGAAGGAGGCATTTTTATGTGGTAGTTGGGTTGTCAAGGTCTTCCAGGCTTGTGTCATCTTGCCAAGGGATAGATATGGACAGGTGGGAGGGGTGGCAACAGGATGTGCTTAGGACTCTGAAGAATCTGAGAGTTGGTAGCAGGAGGATCAGGAGTTCAAGGCCCGTCTCAGCTACTTAGCATGTTCAAAGCTAGATTGGGCTATATGAGAGCCTATCTCAAAACAAAAATAACACGCCCCCCCCCCCCAAATAAAGAACCTCTTCCCCCAAGATGTGGTACAGGGATAGCCCAAGCCTAGGAGATTTTGTTTCTCTGGACAAGAAGTCTGTTAGGAAACAGAATTCTAGACTCCTGGCTCAGAGCAGTCTCAAAGACTCTGCCTGACACCTCTCACCACAGAAAGGAGACCTCTTTGCTCTGTGCCAACATGGACATCCACATCTGCAATGCCTGACGGGGAAGGCACTGGGCGGCTGGTTCCATTTCTACAAGTTCTGTGTGTTAGGAATGAGGAGAAGTTGAAATCACTACAAGTACTTCTGCATTTGGGTTTTCGTTTTACTTCTGGGCCCTCCTCAATTGACCTGAAATCTAACGGTTCGTCCACTTAACAATCCTTCCCACTACCCCGCTCTCTGACCTAACCTCCTTCTACCTTTCCATCTGTCCGTCTTGTGAGTACCTGGATTGTTTGCATGCCAGCCAGCCCCAAGGACTGTGTGCTGGGACAAACACTAAGACGTGCGGTCACTTTTTGTCTAAATGGCTCAAAGCATCGATAGGATTTTTTTAATTTTCTGAGTTGGACACCTTTAAAAAAAATACAACTTATTTTGAGATTAATTTTTTCTGGCAGTTTTGCTGAGCTTAGGCTAAGTTTGCCTGCCTCCCTCTCGTCTATGAGTGTAAAACTCCACGTGTACAGATTGCTGCATTTGATCTCTCAAGTCTCAGAAATCATCTTGAATTGCTAATCCTCCCTACTCTCTCTCGTTCATCTCCTCAGCTTCCTGTCTGCTGCTGTGTGCTTTCTTTTTCTCCAGACCTCTGGTGGGGACTGTTTAGAGTCAGACCACCTGAAATGGCCACCCGTTAGCCAACAATCCAAGCCCAAACCTGCAAGTCAGACAGGCCAGTCACCTGTTGTCATATGAGTCCCATCTACTCAGCAGGAAGCACCCTCCTACTTGCAAGCCTGTCCAAAGGCAACAGTCTGCCTGTCTCACTTTTCTTGCTGAGATCCCCTTTCCATCCAGCAGCCAGAAACCTCCTCCTGTCTTCCTGCTTTACTCTGAGCCTTCATCTCTAGACGACAGGTCAGGCAGGCTGATGGTTTAACTCACCTATTCATGTTCAACCCCGACATACAAATTCGCTAAGAATCAATGAACTCACAATTAATAGGTCTTGTCTGCGAGTTATGTGAGACTACACCAATATCTTGGTAAAATCAAGACATACCAATCTACCGAAGACAGTCCTGTGACCAGGTTGGTCACAATTACCTCAGCGGCTGACCTAGTCTTGTGACTGTGAAGAACATCACTGGAGCTTTTTCTTGCAGCAAATATGTAAATGAGCTATTTATCTGTTTACTCTAAAAGGCAGCTTGAGCCCTTCAGAATCTTCCCACATTTAGTGCTTGGGGATGAATATACCTGTCCTCCATAATCTTCTGAGTGATTGTGACTAGGCGAGGCTGGCTAGACTACGAGCCTCAGCGATCTGCCACCTCATCCGAGCTGGGATGACAAGCTTGAATCACAACAACACTTTTTCAAGACACAAGAACAAAACCAAAACAAATAAAAACCAGTCCTGAGAATTGAACTCGGATCCTCTGATTGTGTGGCAAGTGCTTCACCAACTAAGCCATGTCCCTAGACACTTTAAAATTTGTTTTAAAAGATTTATTTATTTATTTATTTATTTATTTATTTATTTATTTTTCGAGACAGGGTTTCTCTGTATAGCCCTGGCCGTCCTGGAACTCACTCTGTAGATCAGGCTGGCCTCGAACTCAGAAATCCGCCTTCCTCTGCCTCCCAGATTTATTGTTGTTATGACTATGTTTACTTATGTTTATATCTGTACATAGGCATGTGCACATTAGTACTGGGGTGGGAAAGACCAGAAGGGTCAGGTATCCTGGAGGTGGAGT